AGGAGACGCACGCTGAACACCCTCCTGAGCCAGTTCTGCCTTCACTACGGTGTCGTACAAGAACTTCCCAAGCTTGGACCTCCACAGCTTATCAATCTTCGTGCCCGTCTCGACCTCCTCGTAGTAATTCACCTCGCCGTTTGCGTCGGGAGTCGGATCTGTTTGGAGAGGCTGCATCCCCGGCGCGGCATCGGTAGTGTCTTCATGGAGAAGGATGAACATCGTCTTCTGGTGAAGCAAAACTTCGTACAAAGCCGTCCGATAAATGCGCTGCAATGTATGAGGTGTAGTCTGTGCCATAGCGGCAGAGATGGTGGTGGTTGAGGGAAGAGAGCGGGGCGGATTCCGGAGACACAATTATTGGCTCGACAGGCCTGGGTAAGTGGATTACATAAGCATGGCAATGCCCGTGAGTTCAAAGCAGTGTTTAGTCATACTATGGGTCTTCCCAGAGCCCCCAGAAGGTATGTGATAAACTCAGGGCTGTGAAGACAAAGATTAGATCCGACTAGAGTCGAAGCAAGATCTTCAGTCAGTAAGGAAAGACTGTATTGCAGTAACCAACTGTACCTAGAGTCGAAGCAAGACTACAAAGGTCAAGTAACTATAAATTAGAGATAGATGTAACGAAGTACTCACTCTTCAGTCAGTAATGAAAGACTGAAGAGGGAGGACGCAATCTGAAGTCCTTATATACTACAGAGAAGTGTCCATGACTAATCAAAGAGTGGTTAGTCACATGTACCATAGTGCGATGAATAATACAACGACGAAAGAATTGCGACACATCGCACCATAGGATGAGTAAGAGATGAGTAAGGCATAGACCTGTCTAGACCGTTCTGGAGTAGTACAGATTGTCCTAGACAGTTCCAGAAGAGTCCGGAAGCATAGCTATAGTACACGAGCAGAGAGTCCCAAATATGGTAACACACTACATAAGCGACTACAGCTAAGCGCTAGGAGACGCATAGCCTCGTGTAGTCCGGACCGGATAAGTCCAAGTTCAACAGTATGACTCGACTTGACTTGTGTTGTATGATAGGGGTTTGTGGACCCAGTCCAATGAGCAGAACAGAGACAGAGTATGTTAGACTCGTGAAGACAAGGATTAGATCCAATTAGAGTTGAAGCAAGGTCATCAGTTTATAGGGAACACCTATATTGCAGATATCAAGTGCATCTAGAGTTAATGTTGAACAGGCACTGGTTTACACAGCTTGCCTAACACAGCCATCACAAGATATGGAACAGCACAGCCGGTTACTGCAATAACCGAGGCTGTACTACTCATGTGGTACACACACAGCTTCTGTCACGAACCGCCCTCACGGCGCTACATTTCCTTTTCAATTCGGACCATTGCCTCGTACGTTTCCTTATTGTTCACTACTCGCTATGGTTTCCCTTTGTCCGCACACGGACAATAGCTCCCTTTGTCCCCACGTCCGCTATTGTTCTACACCCCTTGTACTCCGTACCCATGGCAACGCTATTGTTCTCTAGCGCCCATTGTTTGTTCCCTGTATATAGCTGGATCCCTTGCTACCTGGAGACTCTAGTTTCGACCTCTTGTCTCCAGGTAAGCCATCATGTATTTCGCTCTGTAGATACTTTGCTCAATACACTACTTGTCTCCAGTCCTGCCTGTTGAGCTCCGCTCCCGTCTCACTGCGATCAGAGCTCGTCGGCGCTCCTGCCTGCCTCGCTCGTCTCCACTTACTCGCTCGACAGTCAGTTGTAACATTAGGTCGAAACTACCTCACAGGCACCAGCGCCCTCCCACGTTTAACACTCCATTTATCACTGTCTCCCCCACCTTTCCATCCTGGATTGTAGACCATTTTTCCACGGCTTTCATCCTATCGC